TAAACTTAATTTGTACTAACTAGGTTATTTTGTGTTAAAAACTCATGTTTGAGTCGTTTACTTTGAAGAGTACACTATATATTGAGTACAATCCTTACGCATATACCATAGTAGAATAAGTACTACAAAGTATACTATACAATATACATACTCTTACAAAAATTTGTACATAGGAAAATACACAGGGTGGATTTTGTAGAAATAACTTGGTTAGTATTAAAAAAAGATTACATCTAAACATTAACTATTATTTTTGAAGACATTTTAGGATTTTTTTATACATACAGTATCTTTATAAACTTGAACTGTAACACCAATCAAAGATTACATATGCTGTATGTAATCTTTGCACCAATAATTGCAATTTATTAATTGTTCGTACGAAATTTAAAACAATTTTTTGGATACGAATAAAAAAGAAACCCAAAGCTATAATTTTATAATTTAACTTAGTATCACATTGTCCTACCTTTATTTCAAATTCGCAAGCCCTGGTAAAGCTTCTATACTCAATTCAACTTTGTCTACAAACCAATTACTAAGTTGTAACAGACAAATGTTCAGTGTTCTACGAAGACATCCCATGTTAATGGATCAGCTGTCACCAATTTCTTTACTAAAAACTAATGTAGTTGTGTGAGCCAGTCACAGATTGCTCTAGTGTCTAAAACTCTATTTTGTACCTTATTTTTGTTACTGACATATTTACTGGGTCATAACAGTTGCTATAGCTAGCTCATAATAAGCCATTCCATCAGTTTGACTTGGCTTAAACCATCGTGTAATCGGCAGAAATCAGTAATTTAGATCATCACAATCTGTAGGTGGCTCACATCAACTAAGACAAATTTGATCAAAAACCTGGTGACATGGGGATGGAATAGGTTCTACAATGGTTCTACTAATAGACTATCCAACACAAACATATTCTTTATTTTTGCTTAACACGCCTAGCTCAGCTGATAGTATAACTGATTCGTAATACAGGGTGGGGCAATGAAAGCGCCCCAATTTATAAGCAGTACAAACTCAATAATATTCACCCTATGGATATAAATAGCACATCAAAACACAGCTTATCTTTTGCCATTTTAACTTAACAAAGTCATTTTTCCATTTCTTGAGAACGAAATCCTGCAAGTGACGTCCTTGTCCTACTTGACATTAGGCACTTGAAAACTCCATCAAATACTCCTCCAGCATTTCTTCAGGAATCACTTTAGTTTTTGGACAATTCTTAGCTTCGGTTCAAGCAATAGCTTATTAGAAACCCCCCCCCTGTCCAAAAAAAGGAACCAACGTAAAGCTTTCAACAACAACAGCTTCCTGGCAAATCTCTTTGGACTTTCAGTTACTGCGACTCGCACTCTTTCAACATTTGCTGGTGTACAAAGAGTTTTGCGGCACCCACCGATTATTTTTTAGGTTTAAGGTTTTAGGTTTATCCTAAATAGTTTTACCCAGTTCACCATTGTTTTCCAATCTGGAACAGTGCCATGTTGACCAAGGATGGAATGTGGTCCAAACAATCTCTGGGTTTTTGCACAAGAACCACTATTTTAAAAATAGGTTTGCACATCAAAATCTCAGTGTTAATAGCCTTGGGCACAATATTTACTAAAATGGCATAGTTTAATTGATGTTTTAAGCACAGCTGATCATTCGTTGTCGCAATAATTAACATGTGACAGCTAAAACAAATTGTGGCGTTCTCATTGCCCCACCCTTTATAATAAAGACCTTAAAATATGACAACAGTACCACCATTAACCTTGGATAATCAAGACTATTTGGACATGCTTTAGCCAGATTTTTCGTTTATGTTAATAGCTATTTGTGTAAGATTGCAATGACTGTTTGTGCGCGTACTACACACAAATATTTCCTACCAATTATAACACCATTATTATACCTATTATAACACACAGATAAACTTTTTAAATGTATATAAAATTTCATTTAGGTTATGTTATTTGCTTACCGGTCGTTAACTAACGTACCGGATCCGCGGCTGGGGTTGGTGTAACAAACCTCAGCTGATTAGCGAGTGATAATGAGCCATTTCGCGTACTGTTTATAGGTGTGGGCAAGTTACAATTTCCATGCAGTGTTAGGAAATAGTATTTTCCTACAGTTACCTAACAATGTACATGTTCTCTCACTGATTTGAGAAAACAAAGTGGCCAATTCGCTCATCAGTGAGACAATGTTAACATTGTCTCACTCTAATTACTTTGTCTCACTCCAGATTTGCAGCGTGAAGGCACGAAATACTGTAGTGAGCACGAAACATGCAGGCAACGTCGTATGCGCGCGAAATACGTTGGCAGCACTGGCTGTAAATCAGCTGGTCAGCTGTTGTACTGTTGTATTTGTCACTTCACGTTAAATGTTATATTAAAAGTTCACTTCTGTGTAAAAATAGGTTATGTTTCTTCACTAATTTATTTGTTTTATTGTAACTGTAGGAAAAGTATAATGTGCAACTTGAGTTCAAAGTACAATTGCCTCACTCGAGAAACCATTCCTCACTCGCCTACGGCTCATGAGTAAGGATTTCTCTCGAGTGAGTCAATTGCTCACTTTTCTCTCTAGTTGCACAAATAACTATTGTGTAACTAGTGGGCAAAGTGGCACTTTGCTGCACACGAGAGAAATGTTTACGCAAGAGCCATAGGCGAGTGTGGAAAGATTCTCGAGTGCAGCAAAGGCTATTTGCACCTGTGTTACACATTATATTTTTCCTACAGTTATTATACAGGGTGTCTTAGACCACCCGGCCGGCTTGTATAGCTCCAATATGAAAGCAAATGGAAACCTAATTGCAACTGGAACCCCCTATTTTGACCCCAAGGAATTCAGCTAAATTATTTTCAACCCCAAAAAAGCACCCCAAAGGGCAGATTTTGGGGGGTGGGGGTAGTTTTTGGGAAATTTTCAAATGTAAAGGGGGGTCGTGTTATACCTCTTTTTAAAGGTCCTTTAGTCCTGAGTATTTTAGTGAAAAAAGATTTAAATTATCTTCATCCATATTTACAGGGTGTTCAAAAACGTACAAAAAAATAGACCTTTGAACTACTTTTCACTGTAAAGAGGTGGAATTTCGTGTGGGGTTCAAATTTTGACAACACTTTAATTAATAAATGAGCTTTCAAAAAACTCTAGTTTCAACCCTTTTGCTATCTTTTTACTTATGTTACGCATTTTCAAATTTTTTGAAGTTTCAAAAGCTGTTATCTAAAAAATTTCAAATAGCAACATGGGTTTTATTACAAACCACATTGTAGCCCTAGAAATTTGCTATAATTTTTACATTTTACAATTTACAAAATTCTAATAGTGCTTTGAATGAATACTGTCTATAAATGCTACTGGTAAATAAAAAAAAATCATCATGAAATCAATGAGCTTGTGCGTGAAACTGGTCACGTTTGATCAGATAAAACAAAACTTACTGGATCTGTAAGAGAGGTTAATGCACCTGCGGTAGTAAAATAGCAATACAGTACCATAATAGTGGAGGAGAAGTACTACGTGCATAAACAGAGTTGGGGTTTGCATGGAACAAAATGGAAGGCAATTTAAGCATTTGTAGAAGTCCAGCGGTATGTAGGCTATTAATGCTGATTCAAACAAATTATTCATTCAAAGCACTATTAGAGCCATGTAATTGTAAAATAACTAAGAATATTTGCAGTTGTGTTCTTAACTTTATCAATCTTCCAAGATCAACAATCTGAGTACTATTTTATTTTTTTAGACAAGATTTGTTTTAATTGAGACCTAGAGGTGTACATTTGCAACAGCAAACACTTTGAATACCATTTAGTAAAACATTAAAATATACTAATTTCGTTATACCTCCTTAACCAATGAAGACACAAAAAAACATTAAATACAAAAATTATAGAAAATTTTAAGGGCTACAATGTGGTTTGTAATGAAACCCATGTTGCCATTTGAAATTTTTGAGATAACAGCTTTTGAAACTTCAAAAAGTTTGAAAATGCGTAACATAAGTAAAAAGATAGCAAAAGGGTTGAAACCAGAGTTTTTTGAAAGCTCATTTATTAATTAAAGTGTTGTCAAAATTTGAACCCCCCACGAAATTCCACCTCTTTACAGTGAAAAGTAGTTCAAAGGTCTATTTTTTTGTACGTTTTTGAACACCCTGTAAATATGGATGAAGATAATTTAAATCTTTTTCCACTAAAATACTCAGGACTAAAGGACCTTTAAAAAGAGGTATAACACGACCCCCCTTTACATTTGAAAATTTCCCAAAAACCACCCCCACCCCCCAAAATCTGCCCTTTGGGGTGCTTTTTTGGGGTTGAAAATAATTTAGCTGAATTCCTTGGGGTCAAAATAGGGGGTTCCAGTTGCAGTTAGGTTTCCATTTGCTTTCATATTGGAGCTATACAAGCCGGCCGAGTGGTCTGAGACACCCTGTATAGCATAGAAATAATTAGTCTTTCAAACACTGATCACGTTTTAGGTCAGGTTAAATCCAAGCGTTGTATGAAATGTGAAACACTGCAACGGCTGATCGTAGTCGTAGTATCTTTAAGTGTTGCCAACCTATTTCCAAGCGTACACGGATTACGTGCATAATAAAAGCGCGCAGTTTTGTGTTGTTTAATTGGAGTACTGTTGTGCGAAAAAATAAAAAAACTGTGCCACAAAGTAACAAGTGTGCGGCAAAGTAAGTAAATGCAGCAATTAGCAGCTTTCTGTTCTATAATTAGTTCAAGGAGCCCACTTTGTCGAATGAAATAAAGGAAAAATAAATATGTTATTCGTACCAAGAATATTTGTTCTTTTAGTTTTGGATGTTTAAAAAGATGTCTGCAATACTATACAGTTTACGTAGCAATAAAAAAAAACATGACACTTTTTATCCATATTAAATTAGAGATATAGTTTAACGTTTAAAGTATACAGTGCATGCAAAGATCCAACAGAGAACCAAACAATTGAAATATTTGACTCTATCCTACCTCATTGGGCTTGTTTAGCAGACATATGCCTCTGCCAGTTCGAAGGGCGCTGTTGTAGTCCGATCTTGAACATTCACTGAACTTGTACGGCTGAACGTTCTCCAGTCCCACAATGCTCTGCGCCATGATGCACCCGTGCCAGTCCCGGCAGAAACACTCCTCTCCTGAAAGAGAAACGTCTTTTTGCAAACGTAAGATGAAGTGACTACAACCTTTTGAATCACTTTACTTATTATAGGACAGTTGATTCAATAGACCATGAATTTTGTTGCTGGTTAAATAATGTAACGAAAGACTTAAAGTAAATAAGTAATGAATGTAAAACAAAAGGGAAATTAGTGATTATTTTTTGCCAGAGGTTTTATTAAATGGTAACACTTTCACATGAATCCTGCCAAACATGTGCTGTGAATGCAACATGAACTATGTCTATGGAACACGTCCCTCAAATGGAAATACGTAGCAGGTAGCATAGATAAGTAAAGTATCTTAGAAATGTTCATCAATGTCAAATATTATGTTGTGTTTGTTACTTTAATTTTGGCCATATCCGGGGTTAAATTTGAGGATGAACACAGAATCAGAATGTTTCTTTGAAGAGAAAATCTATTGAGGTCTTAAATAAATTGCCCTTAAGGAAAATTTAAAATGCATAATATGATACTGTAACTATCTTACTGTTTTTGCTGTGCTATAACACACTATTGTGGTTAAAAGGAATGGCTGCCGATAAATGGGTTAATGGATTTCAGAGTAAAATATTGACTATTGTCATTGACTACATATATTATAGTCAATGATATTGTATAGTTGTCAGCAAAAAATATACATAAAGATAACTACATTGTAATATCAACAGTAGACCAAGTTCTATTACACACTGAATTAGAAAAAACAATAAATACACATACATGGGCTACAATGCCATAATAAAACAGTATATTAAAAAAAAAAACTGCATACACTATTACAAAGTAGTAAATGAGTCCCAAACATGGTTCATTGTGTTAGACAATCGAGTAATACAGTGATAGAAATACAGTTGTTTCACTTAAAGTGTACTAAACGATAAAGTCCGATTAGTTTGAAATCATCTGCAGCCTCTGACATTTACATAATCAATAGCCGCATTCATCCGGGGGCTGTATATTCCGAGATTATGTCACCATGAATATTCCCGAAATGAATATGGGTTCCCGGTTTCCAAACATAACACCTGTATAACCCTACCAATAAATGATTATTCCATAAGGATTACGATTGACATTCCGATAAAACTCATTGAAATCATTGTTCAACTCGTTATGATTCATTGTGTGATCTCTGATAGTTTTGCAATATTCATTTTCCCCTGAAAGTGTTAACGGGATAAATTGTTATTGTTAACTGGGATGAGTTCATGAATACTGGAGATTTATTGTTTGTGTGCCAGTTCTATCTGTGCTTCTACATGTTGTATTCCACTGTAAGTTAATTGAAATTGTTTCTTGTTTTTTAAATATTTTTTTTTACAATGGTACCGGTAATCTGTTTTATTAATGTTGAATAAAACGTTTTTTCTAATAACTGCAGGGGTTTACGTGCTATGAAATTGTGTTAGTTATGCAAAACCTTGCTGTGATTTTCATTACACTGAGAAACATAAAAGTTAGTCTCATTATAATTTTTTTCTATAAATATAAACAAATTTAAGGAAAGGATTGTACAGTATAAAAATAAAAATACTAAAACTACTTTGTTTGCCAAAAGATCAACATTCGTTAATTTGGTAATTCTCTGGGATATTGCAATGATAAATAGGTTACATGTAATATATGTAATATTATCTCAAAATATTTTTTTGAAAACCCACAAGCATTAGGTATTAGAGCTTTATAAATCACATAATTAATTTGCAGGTGAAAGTTTATAAATTAAACTTTTTAAACTTATAATTTAGTAAACTGTTGTAACAAGATATTCATAACCTCAGAACGGCTTGGACCGCTACTCACTGTAAACACTTTGATATAATTACTCTCAAAATTATAACAAACTAAAAAAATTAAACACACACAATAATTATGTAATCTTTAACTTTAAGAAAATTATGACTTGAAAGAATTTTCAAGACAAAACTTCAACTGCCCTGAGGTAACTTATGAACTGGACTCTTCAAGGTAACATAGTCTGTAAAATGTATTCTTGTATAATCCTATGAGGCTACACACCGTGAATAAAATACTTACTTCCTCCATCGTGACCCATGCCGATGTTGTGGCCGATCATGTGTGCCATGGTCCCAGCCAGCAGATGCAGCTCGTAGGGGTTGACATCGACGCTGATGCCCACAGATCTCGGGGTGCAAACTGTGTCTGGCACGGAGATACCAGCCTCACCACTGACAAACTCCTCACCCCTGTAAAGTGTACAATGATTTAGAATACAAAGATTAAAACATAGTATGCCAAAAGCGCCTTAAAAGAAATTGTGTACCTTATTAACATGCATTGGTATTTTATACTTGGCTGGACATGAACACTACCAACAGAAGCAAGGTTCTCAGGATAAGTTAGGTTCCTACAAGATATCCAATATTCAACCAGGAAATATTAAAAACACCAAGCAACCGCATTTCAGCTAAAGCCCAACTCAATTTAACCGATTACAACAGCGCCTACATTAGTTAATAATTTTCACTGTGCACATTATCACCGGGTCATATAACACGAATTACGTTAAAACTAACCTACTTTACAGCAGGGTTCATTTAAATAAATTACCGAATAAATCGATCAGACTGCAACGGCGGGGATGTAATAAATTGCTTTTTGGTGCTCAACCAGTGACAAATATGTTCCCATCGGCGCTGTTCACCAACACAATGAGTTGTTCAAGCGATTGTCTCACGTCATTCACTATCATGGTGTAACTCAGCTACATTGCCGATCCCGCATCACTGGTTTTGTTAAGTAACAAACGCTGTTGCAAAATGGACCATAAAACCTTAAACAACTCCGATACCTGTTATTCGTGTTACGATGTTCCGATTGGATGTAGAATTTCGTGTAAAAGTGTGAATTATTCGGTAAAATTCGCTGGTTTGAAACATGATTACGCTACTTGCAGTTTCATCGGTGGTTTTTAATTCTGATAACTCGGCTCTTCATTTTTGTTCATACAACTTTTATACGAGATAGTGATAATTTAATTCTAAAAATAATGTTATTTTATTTCTTCCTTAGCATTAAAAAATTCTAACTTTGCGTAAAATATTAAATGTATGGAAAACCAAAACGTTACAAAAGAATGAAAATAAATCATTTTCAAACCAGAAAACCTCCTGGTTCTTAAAGTTCTACAGACTTAATCATATAAATAATATAAAATAAATTATCAGTCTAACACAACATAACACGTAAAAAAGCTCAACACGATGAAAAATAATGTTGAAAATGTATTAGACAAATTCTCATCTGGACTCGAAATGTAACAAAATGGTTTCGAAAATGATTAATCGGCACTCAAGATGGTGTTTGTAATGAATAAAAGGTTTTCGGCTTACATTTATTTATACTTTTACTTCTAAAATTTACCTTGATACATACTCTATAACCAAATAAAATTAAACCATGATTTTATATTATATTTTTTAACATAAACATAGAGTTTACATAGTGTAGTTTGTTGAATGCAAATTTGCTTATTATTTTTACCATATTTATTTTCATTTACTCGAAATAATATGTACGTAAAGCTACAAGTAATAGTATTCATATCCATACATACGTACACTACGATTTGAAAAAAAATTAATAATTTCATTACATCGATACGCAAAAACCATTTTCAAAAATAATTTGTAAAGATAGAAATAATGATTAAGTTTATTTCATAATAAAATTGAGTTTCAGAGCACCATCAAAATAATTTATTTAAGTGAAGTTAAACTTATTCCAAGATCACTTTGTTGATTAAATTCCTTTTAAAGTTTCATTATAGGTAAAGTGGTTTCAAACCGATTTTAATTAAACTCATTTTCCAAGCTGAAAATAATTCTTGTCTCTATGTATGCAATAAAGACAATAACTACAAAAAAAACCCAGAAAGAAAAGCATACGGGTACTCACTTTATATTTTTTCGGTAGGAGTTCAATGTTCATTTATTTTTAAGTCCTAATTTAATATTCATATTCACATTCTAAAATATCAGTAATGCCAAAGCTATGTCCACACTCATGCGCTTTCAATTTCAATGTGCCTTTCAGCTTTCAATTCAATATTCAATTCAACATGCATCAACGCAAACAATATCGCATGCGCCTTGAGGCATGCCTTTTAGCTGTCCACACTTATGCGCCACCATCCTCACTTTCTAGATACCTTTTCCTAATTCGATTAGGACGTCAATATTCTGATAGGAGGGATGGTGCGGCAAATTTAGTGTCAATAAATGTTCCAAACCGTAAGAAACCATATCGGATAATATAGATGAAGAAGTACTATATAGGACTCAAAATTTTCTAATTTTATTTTAATTTATTAATTTTCTTAATGTAATCTTAATTTATTCAATTTATTATAATTTTTTTAATACTCCGTATGTCCCGCTAACATAAATAAGAGCAACAATTTTCTATAAATTCTGAGTTTTCTTAGTTATTCAATATGCTTCAAACAACTGCAACACGGACGACTTGTCAAAAATGTAAAGCAGTTGCAAGTTGAAACGCACAGGAATCCAAGGCTGGTGGATTGTCTTGCGCTACGCTGTGCGCTATGGAATGGAGCCCCTTCCGACTCATTTCGTGCATGCCTTGAGGCAAGCGTCACTTGCGTCCATCTGCATCAAGGCATGCGTTAAGAGGCATGCGCTTGGCGCACACAAAAGCGCACGAGTGTGGACATAGCTAGCGACACATTTTCCATTCCAGGAGTAGTGCAATATTTTTAAGTGTGGATACATCAGTGTGCTATTTCGGCACAGGGTGATTGATAAAACAAGTCAAACTGAAACCTAAAGATTGCAATTAAACTATTTGCTGAGTGCATGTAATTATATATTTTCCAAGAAATAACACCATAATAAGTACACCGATATTCAGTTTTTTCATCTGAAATCTAGTATATATCGTAGACATTTTACATAAACTTTAAGTATCCACAAACTGTTGTGATATTGTCTACTACTTACGTGAGCAGCTGCGTCGTATCCCTCTCAACCTTGTACAGCTTTCTCGACGTGTAGTCGTTGAAGTTATGCAGAGCTCTGCTGATGTCTTGACTCTTGTCTATGGGAGTTTGGTTTGAACCTTGCCACGTCTCTATGTACACTATAGAAACCCTCGTGTTCAGTGTCCGGAAGTACTGAAACAAAATATTTTGTTCAGGTATGATTTGTAATTAAATAATCGATTGGTTTAAACTCTACTTAACTCATCATTCCATTTACATATTATTTGAATGTCAGAGTTTAATGAGGTTTCTTCATTACATACTGCTGGAATCCCCAGGACTTTGGAAAGAAAAGTTTCAATTGAAGCATTGCGTCAGTGATCTATAGGTTCTCCTGAGCTGCGACTCCAATGCTGGAGCGAAATCAATTAGCTAGGCAAATACAAATAGACATCGTGGTACCCACTCTTTCTTTGCTAACCATTCCTCTCTAACTCTAAAAACTAAAAATGTTTTCTCTACATCAATATAATTTGCGTTGTAGACAATAATCGTAGTTATAATTTGAGATGGGATGGATTTTGAGATATGTGTATAAATCAATATAGGCCTATAAATATATAAATATAATAATACATAGTATTAGTGATACCGTTTGCTTATTAAAGATAAAATATAGGACAAACTATCTCAAAGTAGGATAGATAAGAGTTCATCTTTGTTAACTACATTACTTTGGTGCTATGGTTTGCACCAAAAGTTCAAAAACCCTATGAAGCGTAGAATATTATTTGGTAAAAATTACACTGTTGAAACTCTTTCTGAAGGATTATGCATTAATCTAGGGGTGAAAATTCATCATTGAATAATTCTATTAAGGAGTCCCACCCAAGTACACAAACAGAATTTGACCAGCCTGTCCTTACGAGGATTAAAAATCGGCCACTATAAATCCCTGGATAAAGAAATTTATCCACAAGTAATAAATGATAGCTTATATAGGATACATCATATTGCTCAAAATATGAATTGCCATACCTTTTTGGTAGGCAAATTTTAGTAAACAAGACGCGATAAAATATCTTTGGGGGATTTACAAGAAAATTAACCTCTAAATGAAAACAGCAAAATAGAAAAAAATGTACTACTGTAAATACTGTAAAACGTATACTAATGGCAGTTTTTCTACAACTAACTTTGAAAAAAAAGCAATATTAAATTTAAATTATTCAGTTAACCGTTTGTACATTCGACGTCGTCAATAACATAAAGCTTTCGCATTGGAACAATGGCCCAGGCATGATAAAGATTAAACCAGGATGATTCGAGGCAGACAAAGTGATGTAAAGTGTTCTTCTCTATTGGGAAATATGCACATTATTGCTAGCTCGTCACAGCCACAGACAATGATAATGGGTCTTGGTGAGCGGAGGTGCTTTATAGCTCAATAGGTGGCGTTAGGTGCATTTGGATCACCTTCAATGATTAATGAGGTGATGGATAAAGCGAGTTAATTTGTCACGAAACTTCTAGTTAGTATACAAACCTATTGCGAAATATGAATACTGATTCGATGAAGACTTTTTGTGAACAATACTGATAAGCTGAACACCTTAGAAGGTGACATGTAGTAAAACGTAGATGATTTTGTTTAGACAGCTTAGTTGGAATTTGATTTAGAATTTTTTTGGAAATAGTTATTTGTTTGAACAAAAATATTTGCAAGTAAACGAACAGACTAAAACTTTAAACAGCGATGCATCTAAACTTATGCATACGGATCATTGATATTGAATTAAGAATGTCTAAACATAATTATTTAAGATTAAACTGAAATACATCGCACTTATAAAATGTATCCACTTCTTTTTACTCTACAAGACATTAAATCGAGGAACGTTATCTTTGTGAACATAAACAGTTTCGTTCTGAGTATAGGATGAGTTTATGTTCACAATAAGAATAAAACAAGTGTACAGACCACTTAAATATAAAAATCTCCACCTGCATATATCGGACGATCTAAGTAAATCTAAAAACTAAACTACTAATTTATATTATTTAATTTTAAAATCATAACATCTAACTGAATCATTATAGTCAGATTTAGTGGGTAAAACAAATGTTGTGCGAATGCGGTTATCATATTCAGAGGTGAATGCCTCAAAAAGATAAAAAAACCAAATCAATTTCTTATAGTGTTAATCTCAGTTGAGTGGCATCCTGGCGTAAGGTTGGTAGAACTGCAGGTGTCGGTGATTTCCGTTTCCGTTCCAACTTTGTCTAATGGCGGCAAGTTGGACAAAAGCGGCCAGACATCGGCGCGGATGTGGAACCGAAGCTATTGTCTAGTTTGATCACTCTCAGCACAACTGATCTCAATTATAGTATGGAAATCAGATAAGACAATCAATTATCAGCTGGGTCTGAAGCTTGGGCATAATTGGGTAGCAGGTCTGCAGGTATAATGGGGAATGAATTAGGACAAACTTTGAGGGATCCATTTAACATGTATCCACTGTATAAGTGAATATTTGTAAAAAAGTGGAGGATGCTTTTAGATTACTGATTTTTTAACACAGCGTTAACGATTAATTAGAATGTTGGGTATAGCAAACTAATTAGGGGATTTTATAAATAGTTGTTTTTTCGTTTGGATTGTTTGAACTCTGATAACCTATCATTTGTAGTACCGAGTTAAAATTTTTATTTCATAAAGATGATATGCATTTGATGGTTAGGATCCAATTCCAGCTAGCGGGATCGGAAATTATTGCGATGAGGGTGACTAAGAGTACTATAGTAATTTGTATGTCATTAGAAACTAGATTTTTACCTGAAAACAATGGTGCAAAAATCTTTGTGCTGTCACATAAACTGAACTCACTAAGATTTTTTGAATTTTATTACTGTAATGCCTCTTGTCGGCTGGTCTCTGTCGCCATTACTGTGAACTGACTGACTAGTAACTAGACTAACACAAACATGAACGATTGAAATGATCGTCTAGGGAAGAAGAAGAAACCTTTGATGACAAACAGTAATTTTATAAAAAAGAGGACAAAGAGAGAGGCAGTTGTAAATTCAACTGAACATTGATCATGTCAGTTCTGATCATGATCTGATCATGATCAGTTCTTATTTAGACATGTGAGGTTGGTAGGTTGGGTGTTATACGGATTCGTGACTGTATTAAGTGTTTTGAAGATATAATAGGGAAGATTAGGAAGGTAAAGTTTAGGTAATAATGAATCGAGTTGTTTGATTTATATTATCTCTAGACTGTTTTTGCACTTTTGTAAAAAGTACTACAAACATGATAAATAATAATTTCAAAAATGAGCAGTCTAAAGATAATATAAATTAACAACTCGATTCATTATAACCTTAATTTTAAATTCCCTAATCTAACCTACCTTCAAAGGAATTAATACAGTCACGAATCCACATATCATCCAACCTACCTACCTCACAAGTCTTTTTAACTTATAGAACAAATTTTAAGCTGTTCGAGAAGTTTGGTTGGGTTATGTTAGGTTAGAATAGTGTCAATTTGTAGTTTGTTCATTTTATTAAAACTGCCACTACACTATTATCCTCATGGGACATAACGGTTACATGGTCTAACCCTAAGCTAAGCCACTCGGTTAAGTGAAGAGATGAACGAAATGAATTCCTTCTTCAATTTTCATAAACCAGTCCAGACCAGATCCAGAGTAAAAATGTCCGACCTAGAGGTGTTTATTAATGTTAATTAATTTTAATAAAATATTACATATAGCCTACTTAAATTAACATGTTTACCTATCAAAGTGTGGGTTGTGAGGGTAATATTTACTTTAAAATGGCATATAATCAATCAATAAATGTGACTTGGGCTATTAACTTAGATTTTACACTGTAAACATCGAAGGACAGATTCAACGTTCCTAATGCAACTTTAAAATAAAATTTAAAAAAAATCGTAGTTAATTCAGTTTTTGTGACAGCAGTAAAACTTTTGCACCATTGTTTTAAGGTAAAAATCTAGTTTCTAATGATATATAAATTACTATAGTACTCTTGGTCACCCTCATCGCAATTATTACCGCGGGATTTAACATAGTTGGCTTCCAAAGGTCCCATGTAAATGTTTTAGAGATTTAGAAAAAAAATACTTAATTTAGGTTTTCCGAGGAAACAGAAAAAAACCACAAAAAACACAGTAAGACAAACGTGATTTTAATCCGGCTTTAGGTTTGAAATCAAATTATATTTTAATTCTTTGGCAAGTCAAAATACATCAAAATATGATCAAACAAAATGCATACATCAAAATAATGTATAATAAAAATCACTCGAATTATTTTTGTTTCGAACTCATCTGAGTTCTAAACTAATGTCTCACCGGTTTCTTCAAATGAATTGTTTGAGTTTTAGTTTCACAATTCCCTGTTATATTAGTTCCCTTGGTAGGTTTCCCCGGCACAATGGCGTACTGAACTTCCACCCTCGAGGAAGGGAAGTGCTTTGGCTGAAGAGGAACTGGAGCCGGACACTCGTAAGTTTCCCTTTTCACTTCAGTTCTCGTAGTTTTTCCTTCCCTTGCTATATCCACAGATTTCTTCACTTTGTTGAGCTGTTCAACAAATTTTGACTGTTTGATCGACTGGCCTTTGGAGAATCGTGTTCCGCCACTCGCAGTAACATCTGTGGTTTTTCTGGACGGTGAACGCGATTCAGGTGGCATCACTGAAGGCTTTTCCTCTGCCTTTGTTTCCATGGTGGTATAAAGTGATTGTCGCGATACCTCTACACCTACTGGTACACCGAGACCCACCCAAGAGTCTTTAGAAGATGTTGGAGGTTCTACGTCACTGTCGTCGTTCTCCATAAAACCTCCTCTGTCTTTCTGCTGACTATTCCAATCTATAAGCGCTACCCAGGCCAATCTTGCGCAGCGTGATACGAAAGACACAGTTTGTTTGTCCAGGTAATGTTCATAAATTGTATCGAGCGCTTTGTTTAGGATTTCTTGGCTAATCTCACTGACCACCAGGGACTTCACCTCTTCATCAGTCAAAGAAGTCGAATCTTCACTTGCTTGAGATGATTTTAAAATTGGTTTGCTAGATCTCTTATTCTTCTGTTTAGATTCTCTGTTGCCTAACTCTGAAACTATACTTATACGTTCAGACGATTCTTTATAAGTT